TTTCACCAAGTGCACCAAATTATGCAAGAGTCAAAAGAAAGCCCAACAGACTTTTAAATCCATTTAAAAGATGGCTTCTGGGTCTTCCGGTGGATCTGCGCGCGCGATGGCGGCTACTTTGTAGCCGTCCTCCTGGGTAAGTGTTTGAATCGCTATGAACAGAGGACATCAGCTGTTCAGCGGTTCAAAATCCCCCTCCCAGGCAAAGGGAGGGGGAAGAGGATTGTCTGAATAGTGGTAGAACCTCCTATGCACCCCCAAGGCTTTTTCTTTTGGGGGTGAATGGAGTGTTCCCACGGAGTTCAGACTGTCTCCGCTTCCCAGCTGCTTTTGTCTCTAGGTACAAAACAAGCCGCTGCAGCCACCTCCGCTATTAAAGTGACCTGGTGAGTTTTTTTTAGAAGCGGACAGAGCTGAGTAGAGGATTTTGTTTTTGCTTTCTTTGATTTTATCTGGATTTTAAGTTTAAAGATTTATCTTTATATTCCCTCTTTTTATTTTTTATTTTTTTCCTTTGTTGAAAGGGAAAGTAAAATGGCGATCGGCAGGCTTTCGGTGTTTTTTTTTTCCCTTTCTCCTCTTTTCTTTAATGACTGGAACGGAATGTGGGTTTGATTATTTATAATGATTTTTTTGATGTTGGGTTTGGATTTTAGAAGGATTATTATTTTTGTTTAACCTTTTTGTTTTGTTTTTTGTACTTTTAAAAAATGGAATGGATTTTTTCTATTTAATTATTTTTTTCTCTTTCCCTTTTCTTTTTTCTTTTAAACTTTTTTCTTTTTATTATAATGATCTCCTTTTGAAGGGTTTCTTGATTTTTTGGAGTTAATTTCTCTTTTTCTTTTGCTTAATTTTTGTAATTTTTAAGAAGGAGTAAAGATTTTTTTAAGATGGCTCCAAAGAAAGATTTTTTTAAGATGGCTCCAAAGTGTCCAGTAATTCCTACAGCTCCCAAGGTGGTTTCTTCTTCGGTGTTATCATCAGGGCAACAACCTAAATTAATAGCTTCACCCTCTTCCTTGGCACAGTCAACAATGGTGAAGGATTTGCAAGATATGATGGGAAATGTTATATCTCAAATTAGGGGAGAAATGAAAGAGACTTTAGAGGAAAATAACAAGATTTTGAGGCAAGAGATAGTTTTGGCTTTAAAAGGAGTTGCCTCTGTTCTTGAAAAGCTGAACTCTCACGTAGAAGAGGTAGAAGAAAAAGTGGAATTGATGGAGGGAAAATTTGAAAGCATGGAAAAAGAGATGGAAAATTTTCAAGATGAGATTCTTATGCTTCAATATAGACAAATGGAATATGCTTTAAGAATCAGAGGCTTGAGAGAGTCTGCGCAAGGAGATTTGAGAGAGATGGTTGCAAAGGACTTTGCTGTGATTTTGAATAGAGAAAAAGAGGAAATACTTACTGAAATTGAAAAAACATTTAGAGTTAACTCTGTGGTGACAGAGCAGAAGAATTTGCCAAGAGATGTGATAATTTACTTTGGGAAAAGATCCCTGCGCAACGAAATTATACAAGCTTTTTATAAGAAGAGGTTTCAAATTGCTTCACAAGATGTTATAATTTTAAAGGAGATCCCATCTAAAATTTTAAGAAGAAGAAAGGAGTTTGCTTTTTTAGCAGATGAACTTAAAAAGAGACGAATCTTGTTCAGATGGGATGTTCCGACTGGAATGGTGGTGAGCTACCTGGGGATACGTTATAGACTTAATACTGTTTCTAAAGCAAAAGACTTTTATACTTTGGTCCTGGGGGTATGTTCATCGCCATTTATTACGTTTAAAGCTTTGGAAGAAAAGAAGGTAGAATTGCAGTCGGAAGAGCGTATACTTATGAAAATTGGGAAATCTCAGTTTGAGAGGCCTCAACAAGTTGAGATGGAGGAGCAGAGGATAACTTGTGCAACATATAATTGTAAAGAAAAGGAGCAACAGAAGAAGGTCAAGGAAGCCTCACAAGTACTGGTTTCTGAATCTGCGGGAGAAGTAGGAGTTACAAATTTTTTGGACCAACCTTTAAGGGCAGAATTGCAGTCTGAAGAGCCTATATTAATGAAAAATGGGAAATCTCAGTTCGAGGGGCCTCAACAAGTTGAGATGAAGGAGCAGAGGACAACTCCTGCAATATATAAACGTAAAGAAAAAGAGCAACAGAAGAAGGAGATTAAGGAAGCCTCACAAGTACTGGTTCCTGAGTCTGTGGGAGAAGCAGGATTTACAAACTTTTTGGAGCTACCTTTAAGGGCAGATTTCAAAGCACTTCTTTCGAGGTTTATGGATAAGAGAGACTGATAAGGAATGTGTTTACTGTGGATGGAATTGGTTATTGGAGAGAAGATCATGGAGATCGAATGAAAATTCTAGATAAGAAGTTTAAGTTTAAGTACTTAGTTTAAGTATTTAAAAGAGTACTGAGTTTGCGGGAGAAGCAAAATTCACAAACTTTTTGGAGCTATCTTTAAGGGTAGATTTCAAAGCACTTCTTTTGAGGTTTATGGATAAGAGAGACTGATAAGGAATGTGTTTATTGTGGATGGAATTTGTTATTGGGAAAGATTTAAATATGTATAAGGGAATTTCAATGTTTTAAGTAATGTTCAAATTTGTGTTTTGGAGGGAGTTTATAAAGAATGATGGATAATAATATAAGTATGATATGAAAAGGTTCAGAGTATATTATAATGTGTTTAATGATTGAGTTTTTTTTACTATTATTATTATTATTTTTAAGAGAAGATAACTTGTTTAATTAAATGTATTTAGATTTGTTTAGGAATTATATGTTTTTTAAGTTTTTTTTTTGATAGGAGAGAAGATTATGGAGATTGAATGAAAATTTTAGATAAGAAGTTTAAGTTTAAGTACTTAGTTTAAGTATTCAAAAGAGTATTTAGTCTTAATGGTATAATGAATGTTTATATGTTTATTTTTGTGTTTTAGGATAAAGAAAGAGGGAGAGATTAGATTTTATATTGTGGGTATAGATATTTAAAGAAAGTAATGTTTAAATTTAGGTTTTGGAGGGAGTTTATAAAGAATGACGGATAATAATATAAGTATGATATTAGAAAATGTTTAGAGTATATTATAACGTGTTTAATGATTGTAATTATTATTTTTCAAAGAAGATAACCTGTTTAATTTAATGTATTTAGATTTGCTTAGGATTTATATGTATTTTAAGTTTTTTTTTTTTGAAAAATTTTAATTAAGCCTGTACTCAACTCTGGGAAGGTAGGGGGAGGGTATGGGAGGTTTGGGGAGGTGGGGGAGGGTAAGGGAGGGTGTGGGGGTCTGGGGGAGGGATTTGTTTTGTAAAATTTAAAAACTTTCAATTAAAAAAAAAAGATGGCTTCTGATCTAGATCCAGATACCCTTCAGAATGAAGTCATTCTGAAAATGACTTTTGTGGGACAAAGCGCCCCTGATATCAGAAGAAAACTCCAAAAATTAGATGCTCCAACTGCCCAATCTTTGGAGGTCCTGATTCAAACAGCTTTTACTGTATATTCTCATCGAGAGGAAAGAGAAGAAGAAAAAGAAGAAAAGAAAATGCAGAAATAGGCTACCTTCCTAGTAGTAGCATTACAGTCACAGACTAAGAGAAGACCCCCAAACCCACATCAGGTTCTACCCCAGAACCTCTGGTGGAGTTACAAGTGGGGGGATTTTTCTTTTTCTTGTTTTCCTCTTTAGAAATGTATATCTGATTGAAGGAGAAAAGTCTCTTTAAAATTGGATCAATATTTTTAAATATAGAAAATCAAGTACTATTTTCCATTTCAGCAACTAATGTTGTTTAGAAATATTGCAGCCTTTTGCTTATTTTCTTGTGATTACACAGGAGCATAAACATCTGACAGTGGTTTGTTAAAAGAACTGTGGTTTAATATACAATATGAAACAACAATATTCAGGGATCATACAGAATACAAGATAGTCAGTTATATTCAAACAGTTGAAGTGAGCAAGCAGGTTCCAACTGCTATTCTCCTCAGGCACAGTCTCTTAAAGAGATACTACTCCCCAAATACTCTGCTGAACTCATTCTCTATATATTATTTCTGCCGGTCAGTTATTAAATTATAATTACCTTGACCACTAATACTGCTGACATGAAGTCTTAATTGCATCCTGCAATTATATCCATGCCTGATACTTTAATATAAGCAATTTACTTTTATATTCTTGCAGTGATTTAATTTTGAGCTATTTTTTAACCCATACACACACACACACACACACACACACACACACACACACCCAACAGAGGATTATTAGTTTGTCATCATACTAAATATATTGCCCCATGTCAATTTCAGTTGTTTCTTATAAGCAAAATAAATATGAATTATTTTTCTTTAAAATAATCTTAAGCATGCATGAAATGAAGGATATATCTAAGCATTATAAAATGTCTCCTAGTAGTAGCCAAGATACCATGTGTTTTGGTGAACATATCACAACGATATAGATGCTGCATCTCTACATTCAAAATATTTTCACCCATAAAAATTGATACTTATAAAAACACATTCTACAAAATAAATATGATTTGACCTTACAAGGACTTTAAGCTCTAAAATCTCTGTAGATTCTAGTGTAGAAAATCTCTGTAGATTCTAAAATACCACACAGAATTGGTAAAAAGTTAAAATATGGCTGTCAAATTTTAAAATAAATATGCATTCAAAGGGGTTACCTAAGGACATTCAGTCTGAAGTCTAAAGTTATCCGCCCAAATGCTTTAGAATTATTCGTGGTTATGTTTTACAAGTATCAACATAGCTATTCTTTTAGCAGTACAGTAATTTTAAACCCACTTGAAAGCTTGTAACTCTATGTGAGCCAATCACGACCTGCATAACGCACAACTTTGACCTTCAGAACCGCCAACTCGCTCCCGGGGATCCTGCTGACGCAAAAGTAAAGGCGGTCTGCAGCCACTCGCTTCCTGATAGCCTCATAAAGAAACCTTAACATAACGCTGAAAATAAAACGAAGGGCGCTCTTCCCCTACCCTGAGCTTATTACGTTATCGAATAAAATCTCTTCCCGTCGCTTGCCTGCATCTGAAGAACGATATCAATATCTTAAGCTTTAAGGCTCTCTACTGAGCTTTCAGGACGCGGCTAAAGCGCGAGCCTCTTAAGAAAGAGGTGGCGTTTGGTTCCGGCTTTTGCGGATCCTGTGAAGAGTCTATTAATGAGGAAGGAACACTGTTCAGGCCTTGGTAGCATGTGGACGTAATTAGCCTCGCTTAGCATGTTTAGGGTCGCGGGTTCCCGCAGGAACAATCTTCTTCACCCCACGAAACTCTGGGACCGGCTACAAAGACTCCCTTGCTGCAACCTTGCAAACTAGCCATTGGATTCTTAGAGGACAACATCGATTGTAGCATTGGGCAAGAATTTGGTGGATTGGTTTTAGTTTTTTTTTGGGGGGGGCGAAGAATATTCCCTTCCGACAGAATAGCTTCGAGAAGCAGATTGCTGCTAGCTGGAAAATGAGATCCCGTGTCAGTCTTTGGCAGGTAAGATCGGCATCTTTGCCTATGGCGCATTGGAGTTATGAGGAAGAGGGATTAGTTTGTTTGCGATGAAGTATCTAATAAATAAGTATCTACTGAGAGCCATACTCGATGACCTTGGGACTTCTTCCTAGTCCTTCTACGTATATTTGTGTTTCTATCTAACTATTCATCTATGTGTCATAATGTTTTGGAATCACTTTTACTTTGGTATTGGAGGACATCGTAGTGCCCTGGACATACGTCTATAATGTGTAATGAAGTAATATGATTTAATATGAAGTCACAAAGGCTTTAGTCTTTTTTGCTCTCCTAATCACATTCTACACAAATTGTAATGCTCACCATTTTATAATGATCTGGTCCCTTTCTGACATGTTAGGTTATGTTTCCCATAAATTCTCAATCAAGAGAGACCAATGCATCAAGAGGACTGTGCAAGATAGAAAAGACTACATTAAGTCTTCAAATCTGGATCCTATAGTTTTCATTTTATTATATAACTATCATGCTATTCCTTGCAAGATCTACATATCACATTGTAAATTACTCATGTTAAAGTTAAAAAAAGTGAAAAGGTACAGAAAGTAATATGGCTTTTTATCTAAAATGTTTCCAAATAGAAATCTAGTGTTTTTTTTCTTCAGTTAACAAACACTATTGTGCTTGATGTGGTCATAAAGTTCACATTCTTACTTATAAGGCATGCTCCAGAAAACAGGAAATGGCTGTCTAGATTCACACATAGGGAAAAATATAATCTTGAATGTAAGCAAACTAGGCAGTTGACTAGTTTGTCTCTACATTTTGATTAATTTTGGAGCTGCATTTTGCAGAAATAAGTTTCAGATCTGTCTGGACTAATAGAAGCAGAAAATAGAAGATAGAAAATAGAAGAACTGCCATAGATTTAATATAGTTTGTATAAAATTGCAGCCGGTTTAAATGCACAATTGCTTTCTTTGTTCAAATTTTCCTATGAATTTAAGAGGTTTTATCAGAATGTTTCCCAGATAGAAATATTTCAGTGATTGATATAAGAAAAATATGTGAGCTGTATTTCAAAAGGTCAGATGGCCCAAGATAGCAGCAATTGTTTAGTATTTTGTATCTCTTTCTGCTCATCTGGTGGTCATAATAGATTTTTGTAGCCTGGATCTAGTAGCTCTAGTGCAGGGGTTTCAAACTTGCGGCGTCACGTGACTTGCCGCAACATATTGCAACTTTTTTCTTCTTGCCGGAGCTGGGGTGGGTATGGCTTCCACGTGACACATCTGGCCTGCAGGCCAGCAGTTTGACATCCCTGCTGTAATGTTTACTTGATAAACATATTTTATAACATTTTAGGTAAAGAAGTGTTCTGGGCAGCCTATGTTCATGCATGACAAATTATAAACCATGGTTTATTAACTACTATGGCAAAGCCAAAGCAAGCAAACCATATTATGTTTTAATATGTAGGGTGGAACAGGACATCAAGTTAATACATAGTATTAAGGATTCAATTTAAGCCAATTTGGGGGGTTAGGGGGATTTTAAGGCTGGAGGTAGGAAATTTGTTTTCTAAGCCCATCTTCACCCTGCAAAACTGGGCGGGGGGGGGGAGGAGAACAAAACACTGCCCTTCCAGCAAAATTATCTTTTCAATTATATCACCTCTGCTCTTTGGAGACTGAACTGCCATGGTTGACTTCCTACGCTGCCTGCTTGCAACAGGCAACAATAATGGGAGGGGGAAGGAAAGGCATTGGAATGTGATGGTAGTTTGGGAGGGAAACTCTGGAATGTAAGTGTGCTATCTGGAGCCAGAGACAGTTCCACCCCAAGGTCACCAACTTTGTTCTCAAAACAACCCAGGTGCAACTGATTGGTGGACAAAAGACCGTGAGAGGACTGTGAGGGGGGGAGGGAAGGGGAATTTAGTTTATGCTTTCATGCACAAAATGTTAGAACTGCTTTTTCCATTTCTGTACTTACATGGCTTTCCAATAAAGTATATTCTTGAAGAAAAAGAATGTCACAGGATGGTTAACATTAAACCAGTTCTCTCAGTAATAGTCTACCTGGACTCCACCAGGAGGTCAATCTTGAGATATTGATTACAGCCGAAGACACAGAGGAGAAAAGCCAGGAGAGATCCCAGCTTGGGAGGAACCGGCACTGCTTCATGCTGGAGTATGGACGCAAATTATTGGTATGCCTCTGAAGCAAAAAACAGAGGTCTGAGCAGCCACCTGCAGCCATAAAGCAGCAAGTGAGGGAAGTCCCTACCAGGGCTGATGACCTGCTGGGCGATGAACATGGGTAAGGCAGCAGAGGCCGAAGACCCCCTTCTCCCTACCAGGGTCAATGTGATCTGAGGCAATAAATGGCAAGTGAGGTGATTAGCCAACTGGGATGACCTTGCTGAATGGAAGATCCCAATTGCTGGTCACAGCCTGTCCAGGAAACAGTTGAGAAAGAAGTTTAGAGGGATGGAGATTTGTACAGCAATGACGCCAGGAGGCAGTGGCTGCTATTGCCTGCCTAGTGGCCATGAAAACCCTGATGGACCTGGCGATTCCCCCTCCCCCTATACTTCAGCTGATGGCACTGGTAGCCATAGTTGTGGCTGGAGCTCCAACACAAGCAGCAGTCATGCTGCCTCCTCCACTGCAACTGGCAGCACCAATGGCACCAGCTGTGGTTGGGGCCCCAGCACAAGCACTCGTAGCCAGGGTCCAAGCACTGGTGGCGACAGCCGGCATTCCACCTCCTGGATATGTTCTAATATGGGAGGATCAGCAGCCCCCCCTTAGTGGTCCAAGCTACCTAGCCCATGTCTTTGCTCAAGTTTGGCAGCAGATGGAATGTTATGGGGCGATGTACCCAGATGACGCAAATCAGATCCATGTTACAGCAATCAACCTGGAGGAGAGCACTTCAGAGTGATTGGTGTCATTGCATGATGAAGCCCAGAGCTGAATGACCTCGACGCTTTTATGCAAGCTCTACGAGAGTGATTTGAAGACCCTATAGTGGCTTGACATGCAGAAGCCTGTATCTGTTCCTTAAAGCAAGGAAAATGACCAGTGACAGAGTACATCCACAACTTCCGCTGCCTGGTCAGCCACCTAGGAGACTGGCCTTAATGCTTGCTAGTTCACCATTTCAGAGAAGGGTTAAACAAGGAGCTGTACCAGAATTACCTGCCCATGGGGTGCAGTGCAACCTATGAGCATGGTACCACATGGCCACGGAGGTGGAGATCACCCTGTTGGAATTCCATGAAGACACCAGGCATGAAACTCGACCCATTGGCCAGCAGAGAGGCAAGCAGCTCCCATAATGTCTGTGGAGATTCTCAGTCATCCAGGTCATAGTTATCCCAAAGAAGCTTTTTCACGAGGCAACTGGACTTTCTTATTTTTCTTTGAAGACATTTCGCTTCTCATCCAAGAAGCTTCTTCAGCTCCCAGGGAAGGGAGAGAAGTGCACCTCCATCCAGAGGAGGAAGACCCCAGCAGAACCTTGGTGGCTGCTTTTGCTGCTGAAAGGAGGGACACTGAGCTGCTGAATGTTTCACACCATGGCCAATGACCACCCCTCCTCCTCCAACTCAATTGAAGAAGACAAAAACTCCATTGAAGCCAAAAGAGAAAACTCATGTGGGGCAACAGGTTGGAGATGTTTGGTCAGTCCCCACATGGTGGAGAAGTTAGGAATGAAACAAAGCTAAAGAAGCCCATAGCATTTCCCCAGCTAGATGGTTCAATAACAGGTGGACTGCCGACAACCTGCCTAACTGAGCCTGTGAAGCTAAAAGTCGGGACCCGCACAGAGACTATTTGATTTATTGTGGCTCGGGGATGACAGAAGCCATGGTCCTGGGCCCAGTGTGGTGGAAAAAATGGAGCCTATCTGTCAGTTGGGACAGAGACAAGTGGCAGATGTGAAAGAAAGCATCCAGCCAGCAAGAGTTAGGGAAAGTACTAAGAAGCTGCCATGTGCCTACAGTAAAGAAAGTGAAAGCGGAAACAGTCAATTTACTAAAAGAGAGTGATAGCTCAGAATCACTGATACTCAAGGAATATTGTAACCTGGCAAAGGTCTTTGGTGAAAGGGAATCTGACACGCTTTTGCCCCACTATCCCACAGACTGTATGATTGAACTTGTATCTGGGGCTAAGCTGCCAAAGCTATGTTCAATGACACCCAGGGAGATGGGAGAGCTCCGTACATTCATAGGCAAGAACTTAGCTAGGGGCTTCATTCAACCGGTGAAGTCGAGAATGGTGGCCCCTGTGCTCTTCAGAGAGAAGATGGGTCCCTTAAGCTGTATGTCAACTATAGAGCACTAAATTTTATGTGTGTGAGGAATTTGTACCCCCTCCTTTTAATGAAAGACATGTTGGGCCACTTTGCAGAGGGGAAATTTTTCACAAAGCTAGACTTGACGGAGGTGTACTACCAAGTGAGAATTAAGCAGTGGATGAATGGAAGACAGTGTTCAACTGCCCTCTAGGTTGCTACCAATTCCAGGTAATACCATTTGGGCTACAAGGAGTCCCCACAGTGTTCATGTAGTTAATAAATGAGGTCTTACATGAGCACTTGTACAAGGAGGTTGTGGTGTAACTGGTTGATATACTGATCTGTACCAATACCAAGAGAAGCATGTGAAGTTTGCCGGGTGGTGCTTGAGAAATTGTGGAAGACTCAGCTTTTTGTGAAACTGTCCAAGTGTGATTTCCATAAGACCAGCTTGGACTACCTAAGCTATCAAATCTTGAATGATGGCATAGAGATGGATCCTAAGAAGGTCCAAGCATTCCTAGAGTGGGTGCCTCCATAAACAAGGAGACAACTACAAAGTTTCCTTGGCTTCACTAACTTCTATTATTAGTTCATCCCCATGTTTGCTCAGATGGCCCTACTAATCACGAACCTGGCCATGGGTGCGGTGCTGCTTCAGAAGAACACAAAGGGAGAATTACAGCTATGTGCTTACACCTCCCGTAAGC